TCGCTCGCGTCACAAAAGAATAAAAAGTAGCCTATGTGATATATACCAATACACATAGTGCCATCTATACCAATTCTTTTGTTTTCCCTCGGGAATATCAAATTTTTCCGGGATTAAAAGTACCTTATTATTTAATCCAGACTTCTAACTTTACGTCTGCAAAATTTCAAAGCAATCGGTTTAGTAGTTACCTACGGCGTGAACACGGAACAAACAAACAAACAAACAAACTCAATTTCCGATTTATAATATTATAGTAAGGATCGTGTCTGAAGTGAGTGAGGTTACCGGAGGCCAAATTACCCCCCCTTCCCAGTCTCCCCAATCCTCGAATCCTCCACAATCCTCAAATTCACAATTCCCAAGACTCCAGTAACGCCTTGGTGTTTCATGTGTCCATAGGCGGCGTCGATTGCTTACTGTCTGCTCGTTTACCGGCTTATGCCTTAAAAAAACTACATTTCATATTTAGGCCAAAACTCCAATGAATTGGGACAACTATAATAGATGACTATATAAATGTGTCATTTAATAAACACACAAAGATATAAATAGACGAGGTGAGCGCACATGCTGGATGTCTCCGAATTCCAACACTAGTTGATAGTGACAATTACCTGGATATCGCCTCATGTGATCTAGATTTATATACATCTACGATTTAGTATATTTTAGTATTATTACATAACATAACATAACATCACGCCTTTTACCCCCGAAGGGAGGCAGAGGTGTACATTATGTCACTGTACAATGTAACAATCACTTTTCACTATTTATGTTATGAGTCCCATGTAATAGGGGGTGAGCCTATTGCCATATACCGGGCACAATTCCAGACTTCGTGCTGCTGCCGAGATTTTGTTAAAAAACCGGGCAAAGGGTCTCGGCTTCAATTCCCGAGCCGGGCAAAGTACTACTGGGTTTTTAAAAAATTCTCAGTAGTAGCACGGAGTCTGAAGTTGTGTCCGGTATACGGCAATAGGCTCACCCCCTATTACATGGGACTATTCGTTTTCTTATACGATAAAATAAAAAAATACATGTCTAATATTTTTTCATTAGCTAACTAATTTAATTTTTAATTTCCATACCCTGTCATCATCCCTGAGTCGAATCGAATCATCCTTGAGTTTACCACTTAAAAACACATTTAACTTTTAATTTTTATTTATTTACGTGTACTTATATCAGATGGATAGATTAATTGCAGTAGGCGTAAACCAATAAGTGGCTGTCACTCACTTCCGAACATCCGAGTTTAAAGTTGATAATTAATGGTTTCCATTAAGTGATTCATTTAAAAAAAATCTAATGATTTTCCGTAAAAACGAGGTTTTATTTTTAAGCTAGATAGAGTACCTACTGGCTATGTTATCTGTGGCTTCACCCGTATGGTCATACAAATGGCTATGTGCAAAGCCAGTAGTGGCGGACAGATAACGACCGCAGCGCACAACACGGCAGAAATTGGAAACAAATGCGGATGATCGGCTGTCAAATGTGTTGATTGCAGTACAAAATCAAAGCAAAGAAATGGACCATGGCTCGTATTAAGTAGCTCTGGCCGTTATGTCGCAGTTCTTCCACATTTCTCACATGCTCGGCCAATACTAATTTATTGCCTTTTGTCTCAGTTTGTGGTTGGAAACTAATATTATGTGTAACAGTTTCAAACCCGGTTTTTATTCTTATATTCATTTTACAGTAAAACTATTGAATTTTAATTTTTGGTTTTATTTATATTTTGGTTTTATTTTATTTATATTGATGTTTACATCATAATTTTCTTTGCTATTGTTATTATTTGACAGCTTCCGCAAATGCTGTAAACGCTACGCGTCGCCACCGTCGCGCACATAGCCAAGCCTCCTAACGTAAGTAAGTAGTCCATATCCATCCTGCCAACCTAAGTAAGGAGCCTACATACAGTCTAAAAGCTAAAGTTAGTATGGTAGGTAGGTATTTTGAGTTTTGACTTTAGTTCTTCTTTGATCTGATCAAAGATTTGGGATTAATATCAACACTTGCATTGTGTTTTTTCGTGTGATTTTGGTTACCGGAGGCCCAATTATCCCCATCCCCTTTCCAATCTCCTCAATCCTTAAATCCCCAAGAATCCTCAAAATCTTAATCTAATACGGTGGCTGCGTGGCGATGTGAAAACGGGGGAATGGTATCAAAGTCAAAGCATTTATTTCAATTAAACTATAATTTGGTACTTTTCAAACGTCAACAAATACAAAATAAATAATAGTCTATCAGTCAGTCCGTCAGTGAAGCTAGGTGAAGCTAGGTGCTCATTCCAAAATGTAGATTCGACTGGAGAAGAACGAGCAAGAAACTCCATTCGTTACTCTTTTAATACTAAAAAGTAAACAAACTATAACCCAACTATGACAAAAAAGACTCTGAAAAAGTATAAAACAAGATTTTTAGAATACTGAACTGAACAAAGATGCTAATGTAGAGGTAGGTGCAAGTAAATGGACATAGTAGACTACCAAAATGCTCGTTGTAAATTGACAATAATGTCATACAATACTATTCTGAAGTATGCAATGTTCACTATGTAGATATAAATTTTAATGTTTGGAAAGGCGTAGTCACAGGTTGCATATATACCTAGATACGTACCGTAGCACTTTGACAACGTGTACTGCGGTTTTCCAATCAATTAAAATTTTTTTTTTGCTCTGCCGTAGTCGGTTAAAAAAAATGCTTTCGATGTCGTCAAACCAAATGACTGACACCAGGGAAATTGAGAAATAACACAGGTCTATAATAGGTATCTAGTTAAATGGTAAGCGATCAATCCAGCATGAACGCCTGGATCTATTTCCGTTAAATCTTTTTCAGTCGTTTTTGTAATTTTGAGGAGAAGATTTCTAAGGAAAAAATCTAAATCTAACACACATGGCACATGCGAAGTAAAGGTGGACCGATGTAAATTGAAAATAGAATGTGAAACTGATGGATGTAAGTGCAATTTTGACGTTAACATATCCATATCATAGTTTGATGGATGTTTGATAAACAAAAATCTTCGCTTGAAAATTTACAGTAGGCACCTAAAAAAATTTCTGACTGAGAAATTCAGAACATTGATTAACTACTTCTCTGTACTTAAGGCCTATTTTTATAAATATTTGGCAATTCTTCCATACTAGAACTTGAAATCTTAATTTTATTCTACTCCGAATCTTTTTTTTATGATGTACTAGCGACCCGCCCCGGCTTCGCACGGGTGCAATATGCATGTATTATACATAGATATACACCTTCCTTAAGAATCATTCTATTTATTAAAAAAACCGCATCATAGGGACAGAGAGACGGCGGATAGCGACTTTGTTTTATACTATGTATGTACTGATAAAATAATGTATACGGTATGTAAAATTAAGCAATGAAATGTTTCTTTTATGTCATAATAGTTGTAATCAACGGCTGAAGGCTGATCTTACATGAATAACAGGTAAAAAAAATCTGTTTTTTATATTTGATGGGCCGACGTTTGACCACTATCTCGCCTGGTGGTAAGCGATGATGCGGTCTACGATGGAGCACGTCGTCCCATAAGCAACCTATTCACTCGGGCCTTGAAGACGCCCAGGTTTATACCCTTCAGGAAATACAGACTCCGGCAAAGAATTCCACTCTTTAGCAGAACGCACAAGGAAGCTTGATGCGAAGCGTTTGGCGCGTGTGGGTGAGACATCTACCGTGAAAGGACTAAGGGGAATCAATTGCATTCAACATACTTAATCATCTGTTGATTGAAAACTCTGTCCTTAATGATAAATATAACAACGGGATAATATAGCAGACAGCCGCTGTATGCTGGTCGCTTGCAACCTCGCCATGTGTAAACCATTGTGGAAGGCCTATAGATAGATATTGTCGCGGAGAACCTAACGGGTAACCGGGGCTCCGGCTCGACGTGCAGGAGAAGGAACTGGGTGGTTTTTAGTCAGTAAGAGTCTGACACTCTCTCCCACCTTACCCAGGCGGGAGCAGTCAATCGATGATATTCCCCCCTTAACATTTTTTTATAGATATTGTGAGGTAGGCTGTAGTACCTACAAAGAGGTCAAACCTTAGTTGACAATCCTATTTGTATCGTGGTACCCTATAGTATCGTTGTATCTGTGATACAGTGTACGCGGATTAAGATTTTGATATGAATTGGGGCATGTTTTTGTAGTTAGATCGAGATGTTTTCACCAAATTCGAAAATGCTGAATATTCCAGAAGATAGCCACTTTCCGACTAGGAACCTCAGGGCTAATTTAGTAGGAAGTTAGTTGTATTACTGGTTTTATCACCTTCCGAGAGGATTACGTAGAGTCATCCTGTATTGTAGATAGATACGGTACCTTTCGGAAAATCTTTTTTAATCTGTAGGTCCTTCAGCAATAAATAGTTTCATAATATTGAGGGCGTCCTGCTATCAGCATATTACACAATAGTCGAAGACATCTATATTTATGAATATTTGATATTTCAACAGGGGAATGTTATAAAAATTATGAAGTTGTGTGTCGTGCGTTGGCGTCCGTAATTGCCTCGTAAATTAGGTTTATTCCAACTAGAAAAGAATGATTATTTAAATTTATTGTCTTTAGAATATTTTATTTTTAAACTTGTGTGTGTTTAATTAGATTAACTATTTGTTTTAATTTATTTATGGTACTAAAATATTGATCTTTAATTTTAAGTAAAGAGGGTGCATAGCTATATAACTTTTTTTACGTAAACATTCAATATCTGTGGTGTTTCCAGAAAGTTCTATAATGTCTGTAATAATTTTACTAAATGAGATGTCATCAAAATTCTTCTTGCGCGCCAAAATAATCAAAATGGCGTCGAAGATTGCGTATTTAGTAAAAATAATTATGTTTACTTTGCTATTTTTGTAGTTGTATTAATTTTGGAAGTGTATTTTAAAATATAAATGTTAGTAAAATGTTAAACAAAGGTAAAAAATAAATAATTACCTTCTTTGGAGTTTTGACTTCGGCTGGCTGGTCATTTGTTTTATTTTCATTAATTTTCGCTCGACATTCAATGCACATATAAATTAAAAATATAAGCACTGATATTTTTACCGTATAAAACTCCATTGTCAATATTCAATTTGAAAATCGTCCAAAAATACAAAATAATTCACAATATATTTCTAAAAAGTCATTATACCTAAAACGAAAATATCTATACACGATTATCTTCCGAAATTTACGAAAAAGTTTGACGTTTAAATTTGACAAGTGTCAATTCGTAATGGCGGACTCCAGGCAACTGGAAGTTTTGTACAGATACAGACTGCAAGTCTGATCTATAATTAGAAAATCGATCGGGCGTTTGACTCGACCTGCGATATTTTTCGCTACTAAACTGAATTTCGTTATGCATTCGTAGTTTGGTATTACTTTATATTATGTAAGTATATAAACAATATTATCTTATATCTAGATGTTACTTAAAAAAAAATATTTGACCGCACCAATAAATATTTCATTTCATTTCATTTATTCAATAAACAATTTACATTGTATCTGAATGTCTTCATAATCATAAATTACATTGCAATATAAATCCATACAGCATGAATCAGTCATATTACTCAAAAAACAAAAAATAAAAAGCAACAGAACAATTTAAATAATAATAAAACGAGAAATAATGTAATATAACATGACAAACATCCAATTTAAAAAGAAATTACATAATTGGGTACTTTTCACGATAAGAATAGATCAATTATAAATTTTTCCGCAATTAAATAATAGGGTAGACGACTAATTTTTATTTTAATGTCCGTCTGATAGATTATTTAAAAACATTAGACACGTATTTTTTATTTTCTCACAGAAACGAATAGTTTCGAAGATATATTGATTTGAAATGTCGCGTGACGTCACTTCTCAGTACATTTTATACTAAGAAATGACGTTTTAGCCCCCACTCCTAAACTTTGATTCGTTTTATCTAAGTATTGTTTTATTATACGACAAAATAAAAAAATACGTGTCTAATATTTTTTCATTACCTAACTTACGGACTAATTATATTTTTAATTTTCATACCCTGTCATCATCCCCATTGTTTGGATTAAAAAGAAATTTATCATACATTTTGTTTTATTTGTAAACTTAATGGGTATTTAAAAAAAAAGGTGTTTCTTTTTAAATTATACTACATTGGATTTTTTTTGTTAAAACCGGACCTAGCTCCGGTTTTCGGTTTTGGTCCCAAAAAAACGATGTTCAAAACCGGTTTTGATGACTTTCCGGTTTTGCATGCCCTAGTAGCTGTTGATTCACCATTCAATAAATAAATAAATAAATTATAAAAAACTAGCATTAGCCATGTATATTGTTATGTATTATGTGTGCGCTAGTAAATGTCATCATCCCCATTGAATTAAAATAAATGTCAACAAAACACTGCAGTACTAAACTACTAATACTACTTTTTAATTGAAATCGACCTTACCTTCATTTATTACATGTCACACTGACCCGTAACAATAATTGGCTAGTTTCTTAGGTTTAAAATAAATTGTTTCAACTTTTCAATGCAATAAATAATTAAAATATAATCATACTCTCATCCATTGATTTGACAATTTACTTACTTTTGGATTTTTTTTTGCTAATTTTAAAGAAATAAGTATGCTATTTGACGCAAAAATATGATGTTGATGACGTCATAAGTTGCGATCTAATACAAAATTCATAAGTATAGTTTTTGATATTTCAATAAAAGTATTGAATTTGACTACCTGTCAACTACCGTATTCGTGAATCACACAATCACTAACCCAAGTGTTTTGTCCTTTCAACTACTATAAATAAAATAAATAAAAACTTGAATAAAATAAAATAAGCCTTTATTACTGAGATTACAATTGTACAATCTAGTCTCTATTATTATACTATACATCAGTAGTTTTATCCCCAGCTTGCCCTTTGACTCAGGCCTCCTCCAAAGATTTCCAGTTTTCCCTATCCCTCGCTATTCTCATCCACTCTAGTCCAGCAGTTTTCCTTAGGTCATCTTCCCAACGCTTTGGTTGTCGCCCTTTGCTCCTTTTCCCATCTCTTGAGTACCATTCTGATATTGTCTCTGTCCATTTAATATTTCAGCTACTAACAACTAAAAACTACCGCAAAGTTAAGTTCGACGGTTCATTAAACCGCCGTCACCACTCGACACTGGCAGTATAGTCGACAACATCGTTCTGGAGACTCGTTTGCCAAAGAAGTGAAAAAAAAAACAAAAAAAAGTATCCCTTGCTAGATTTGAATTCGTGACATATTGCGCAGCAGACGCCTAGCCAATCAATGCCCCGACCATGCAGTCCTCAATATTAAATCATTAAATCTTTTTTTTTACATTTATTCTTTTCAAATTCATGTATTGTTTGTTAAATGTGGACAATAAATTAACTAAAAATCGCGGGTTACTCACGTGAATATACTGAGAAAAGCTCTACTAGTTTCGAATCACAAAGCCAACGGCTCAGTAGCGCTACATAGCCGCGATCGCGCGTAAGCTGATGCGTATAAGTGTTCACTGCTGACCAAAGGCGTCTCTTTTCTCACACGGAGAACGTTTGAGCATTATTCACCACGCTTGCTCAATGCGGGTTGGCTATTTCAAACTTATAGTCAGATATTACTAGCAAACCCGGCGAACTCCGTTTCTTCACCAGATGGCTTCGTTTTATGTAACATTCTTTGCTATACACCTCACGGAGCCCGAGACCTTTCCAACGAATGCAAAACCGTGGAAATCGGTTCGTGCGTTCTGGAGTTATAGCGTCAGGAAGGAAAACCCGCTAATTTTTGTATAGTAGATAAGCACTAGGTTTTCTCACGATGTTTTCCTTCACCGTTTGTCAGTGGTGTCTAGATAATCTTAGAAAGTACATGTAACTCGGAAAAAGTCACATTGGTACTTGCCGTTGGTAGGTTTCGACTTCACTTTCATGCATGACAAGCATGTCTTCAAACTCCGGGCCACCACGACGTCTATTACGTTACAAAATTAACTTTTTGAACAAACAAACGATTGGATCTAGATTTAAGTCTGTAGTTTATAAAATGTTGTAAATCTGATTGATTTTGTTAGTGTATTTAGCTGTTTGTAGCCAAGGTAAATAATAAGAGTGTGGTCACAATGTAGACTACTTTTTTTTAACCGACTTCAAAAAAAAGAAGGAGGTTCTCAATTCGACTGCATTTTTGTATTGTAACTTTCGTGAGACATCCTTACTAATATTATAAATCTGAAAGTGAGTTTGTTTGTTTGTTTGTTTCGCCTTCACGCAATAACTACTAAACCGATTGCTTTGAATTTTTGCAGATGTATAGTTAGAAGTCCGGATTAAATAATAGGGTATTTTTTATCCCGGAAAAATTTGATATTCCCGAGGGAAAACAAAAGTATTGGTATAGATGGCGCTGTGTATATTCGTATATGTCACATTGGCTTTTTATCCTTTTGTGACGCGAGCGAAGCCGCGGGTAAATGCTAGTACTAAATAAATTATTATGTTTTCGGCTTACTCAGTACCAGTAGCAGCGCGACAGTCGCCGCGTCGCGGGTCGCGAAATGCTGCTCATGAATATGAGCCTCTAGCATGGCTTGAAACTAGTCGAGTTCCTCGTCAAATTACTACGTGACTAAGCCGAAAACATAATAATCGACTGCATTTTTTTTATGTTTGTTAATCGATTACTCGAAGACGCTTGGAGAGATTTCAAATTTTTTTTTTTATTTTAAAGGGTGACAAGCTTACCCTATGGCACCGACTTTTCACCTATCAGTGGGTGTGTAACCTATAAGTACGTATGACCAATAATAGTTATGTTTTGCGTTTTAGTTTTTAGTTTTTGTTTGTTTTTAGTTTTTGAAGCCGGTTTTTTTGTAGATGAAAACTCGAAATGAAATGATGAAATGATATTTATTTCCGCAAATAGGTTACTTAGTAACACTTTCACACGGCAATCTTTAAATTACTAGACGAGGGCCGACATTTCCTAACTGACTACTCTGAGAAGAAACCCCGATACAAACTCAGAGGTCATTGTCTCTTTTAAAGTCCAGACAGATTATAATTATAATGAGCGAGCACCGTGCAAGTTGATTCTGTAAGTTTAGTGTAAATTGAGGCGTGAGGGAGTGTCAGACTTTTACACTAACCCATTTCAACATCTGCTGCGAGCTGGAGTGTCTACCTATGGCGACCTCGGCTAGACAATTTAAGCTACTTTTTTATATAAGTACAAAGAATAGGAGGCAAACGAGCAGACGGATCACCTGATGGTAAACGATCAGCGCAGCCAACGGACACCCGCAATACCAGAGGAGCCACAGGTGCGTTACCGGCCTTTTAAAAAGGAATACGCTCTTTTCTTCAAAGTTTGAAGTTAAGGTGTTTTTTACGAACCAAAATGACATCGATTCGTAAATAACGCCGACGACAGATCATTCTACAGTTTTGCTGTACGGGGCAGAAAGAAATCTGTTTTAGTCATTTTTAGCAATCCTTTTTTTCATAAAGTAGGGGCAAACGAGCCAGCGAATCACCTGATGCCAATGTCACCCACGAACACCAATAACACGAATGGGTCGGCTCGACCGGAATGATACCACGGCCGAGCAGAAACATCGCTTGCGTTGTGTTTCGTCGTGTGAGTGAGGTTACTGGAGGCCCAATTACCCCCCTTCACAGTATCCCCAATCCCCGAATTTTGCACTATCCTCAAATTCCCAATTGCCAAAAGGCCGGTAACGCACTTGTAACGCCTTGGTGTTCCAGGTGATCCGCCTGCTCGTTTACCGGCTTATGCTATAAAAAAAATCTGCTTTGTAGATTTGCTTAAAAGCTGTTAGAGGTGATTTAATTCTCCGTTACATTATTCGTCTTCTATTGCTGCCTCTTCATTCCAGGGGCTTACTCTTGAATCCAATTTCGATCGATCGACATTGGTATTGTGAAATTTCGTACTCTTGAGTTGCAACACTAGCGCCCATTGCATCCGTATTGCGTAGATATTAAATGAACTAAATTGTATTCAGTTTGGCTTTATATTCCGTACTCTGAATGCTATTT